TATCCTCTTCTCATTACTCTTGTGTGCCATTTCTGCTGTTAAGAGCTGTTCTGCCAACTGAGTGCATAATAACTAATATTTTTTAGCTTTGTTCAGGATTTTTCCTGAGTTACTGCATAGCCATTTCTCTCTACGGCATACAGACATATCTTTCAGGTCTGACTCACACAAATATTTTATTTTAAGAAAACTACATTTCTTTCACCTGTCATAGTGTGTCATATGCCATCTATGTGTATTTAATTCTAAAAGCAGTTTGAATTGACACTATGATTAAGGAAAAAAAAAAGTAATATTCTTACAGAAAACAAATCTCACTTCCAGTGAGATACATGGAACCTTGCTTATATGAGTGCAAAGACCCCAAATAATCACAACATTCTGGTCCTTGATATCTTTAAACCTGATTGACCTCTTGTCTGTTGCCTTGTAAGATTTTACATTTTTAAAGATAGAAGTGGAAAAATCCCACTCACTCTGCTTCTTCAAAGTCAATATATCATTTTGATGAGTAAATAATAACAATGAAATGAATTATTAGCTTTAAGAAGACTTTTTCCAGTTCATCTGACCTTTTAAACAGGGTTCCTGACATCGTAGGCTACAGTCTCAGCTCTTTGTATATCAATATATTATACTGTGATAATTATTATACTGTGATAATGCAAGGACAGTATTTCTTCAGAGCCTTTTCTTTCAAAACTATCTCTTGAATGCCTTACTTTTGGATAATACTACCCCAAGGGCTGGGAAGACTTCTTAGCTTAGTATGTGGAGTCTTGTCCCTTGTTTTACTTACCCTGATTTTGTATCAGTTTAAATCCACCAACATGAGTACAGCTTCCGCCTACTTACACCAGGGTGATGACAGAGTTTAACTCAACAGTTCAGTCCTTAATTTGATCCTCCTGTGTGGTCTACTTAGTTGTTTTCTCCTACACAACAGGCTGAAGATATACAATCAGAGTAGTCTACTGCAAGTGATGGGTCTCAGGAAGAACAGACTTTGGCATATGCACTCATCTTTTATGCTCTTGCATCCTTGAGGGGAAGCCCAAGGTCTCCAAAGCCAGCACCGAACAAATACCATCTGTAGTCTAAGGAAATGTTACTGACACAGTGATGTTGTCAGAGGTGTGATTTTTGTGCTTGCTAAGCAGAGTAGATTACATTTGTCCCATTAAGAGGCAATATAATAAGCCATGACTCATTTATGTTTGTGTTTACAAGAATTAACAGGACAAGAGCCTTTGGTCCCCAGTCATCCAGAATGGGAAAAGAGTATAACATGCTTTGGATCCTTACTGGCAGTGGGTGCCCAGGCTTCCACCCCTTCCCACAAATTGAGGTGAAGCAGAACAACAGGAATCTAGTGTGCATCATTGCAATGGTAATGGTTTAGAACTGAAGATGGGTCAATTTGGATTAGACATAAGGAAGAAGGTTTTTAGAATGAGAGTAGTGCAACTTTGGAACAGGTTGCCACAAGGAACTGTAGGTGTTCTGTCACTAGAAAAATTCAGTCATGTTGGACAGGGCTCTGAGCAAACAGATCTAGTTGAAGATGTCACTGTTCATTAAGGGAGATTGGACTATATGACTTTTAAAGGTCTGTTCCCACCCAAACCAGTCTGTGATCAGCATTCATCCCAGTAAAGACAACACAGGGTGTGGCCTAGGTCCCAGTGGCCCAAAGATCTCTTGCAATTAGCAGTTTAGACATATCCCGAAGATCACATCTGTGCCTGAGGCACACTGACAGCTGTTTCTTCACTAGCATAACCATCTGTCTTAGAGAGAGGGTGGAATCAGGTTTGCTAATTTTTTCACATACATTGCAGCTCAGAAGTGTGCCAATACAACATATCAACTTCTACAAGTATACTGAGCCTTAAAAGTAGAGTTTCTTTCCTTTTTTCCCCCTTTCTCACTGCTGAGTTGTTCTCTGTTCAATGCAAGGTATTCAGCCCCTACCATGTGCTCATGCCCTTCATTTAGCATATTTTAGACAGGGACTGCTTGCCTTGTCTCCCTTTGGCAGGCTGTTCTTGCTGATTTGTTGTTACTGCCCTCTTGGGATGGCCCAGGCTCCAAAAATGAATTCCATCTTCCCCAGCTGTGCTCTGACTAGGTGAAAGAGGAAGGGCTTATATCTTCAGCTATGCCCTAGATATATTGCCACTGTCTAAATTCTACATATTGCCTCCGTGGCTGCAGCACTCCCGAGCATGTAACTGATTTCCCCTGTTTGCCTGGGCACTCCGTACTGCTCTGCATGACTCATTACCCATGTTGCGGGACTGCCTGCAGCAGGAGTCTGCAAATCAGGAATTACAACTGGAAGCAGAGTGATAGTAAGAGATATAAGGGAGTGTTGTAAGAAATGCAGTTATTTTTTACTGTATTTGCAGTTGTTTGTCTGGAGGCAAGCAAGAAGAGAAGTTGCAGTAACAAACAATTTGGGAATGAAGCCCATGGTCTCTAGTAATGACTGAATCCTAATAGGCAAGGTGCAATAGAGATAGCACTTGGAGGCAGGAATATATAATATATATATATGGGTTACAATCTATGTAGCTATTTATACAATTTAAAAAGGTGGGGGTGAAATTATATTCCTTCAGCAATATAATGAATAGTCATATAAAGGTCCAAGAAATAAATGTTGAAATGCTTCATCTGAAGACCAGAAGCATTTTACCTCCCTGGGAGAGAGTGTTTTCAAAATGTGCAAGTAAAATGAGGCTCTATGGACACATCGTAGCTTGAACCTCTATTTGGGAGCCTGATACATTGCAAATTGTTATATATGTGATACATGTTTCAGGACAGCACATAAATGCCTGATCAGTATCGATGCATTGTGCATGCTGGCAACAAAAGGACTCAGGATTTGTAGAGGCTTTTGCACTTTCTTTTCCTAATCAAGATGAAAAAATATGAGGGGGTCAGCCCGCATTTTCAAAGGGTTCTCATGGTGTAGTTACAATTCAATTAAGTGGCAGTCTATGTAGAATAAATTATTGTTATATTCTTATATTTAGACATTTCAGTTTTTCTGTAAAGCCTCACCAAGGGACAAAAAAAGTCTTAGGAATTTTGAAAATTTTCATCCAAGTACACTAAGGTGTCCAGTTGTACAATCTTTCCTTATGTTGTAGAGTTTTGACTGTGAAATCATTGAATTGCAAAATGGTGCTAATATTTCTATTTTCATTTCAGCTTTTCATTTAGGTAATTGCTTATGTAATATCAGCTGTGTAAATAGGTATATACTTTTTGATTTAGGAAACAAGCTAATTCAACAAGATATGAATATGTGTACAATATTTACAAGACAGATAAATATTAGTATTTTTTTAAAATATCACAATATCTAAAAATTTATATTATTTCAGTGGGTCACCATCTTGCACAAAAAACACACTAGAAATGTTCCCAGCCCCTGCATAATATCTTAATTGTAGTACATTCTTTTTCTGAGCATCCCGTCCTCCCAAGACAGTGCTGTTCTCTCACCAGACTTCCTCTGGCATTTTCCCCAGCTTCAGGCAAAAACAGTAATTAATGAGAAAACTTGAGTGTTGTACAGCTAAGCACTAAACAAGACTGCCTCTTCTCATCTCTGCCAGTCGCTTGCTCTCTGATCTTCAGCAATTATTCAGACTGATTGTAGGTAAAATTACATGTTATGAAAATTATTATACATACATCTACTGTTTAAAAATAGATTAACTCAATTAAAATCTGAACTTCCATAGGAGTCTCAAGATCTTTGGTCAAAACAAAGGTCTGCTAAAGCTAATTAAGGTGAAATTCGCTTTACAGGAATCATTATCTCTACTAGAAGACTTTTCAGAGTGTCTATACTTTGAAAAATGCTAGGAAAAATATTTTAAAAGGTATTGATTCATGGGCAGGTCCATGCTAAAATCTTTTTAGTGTAATGATGATACTAGCTGCAGGTTCTCAGGGGAGGAGAAGGAGTATCTTTTTTAAAAATACTTCTGTGTTAAAAAGAATGCCATATATTCTCAATAAATAAACCTTGACTATTTTTATAAAGCTGTGTCAGTTCATCAAAAAAAATAACCGCATCAACTAAAAAAGTCACAACACTTAGCAGTACAGTTTTCTATATTTCTTGTTGTAAATCTTAATGTAAACACAATTATGCTGGGGAAAGAAAGATTTTTGCCAGTTCATCTTAGCTGGTTGGAGTGAAGGTGTACATGTTACATTACCTTAAGGCGTGTTTAATTTAGGATTGTCTCTTCTTACAGAATATATTTTTCTAATCTAGCTAAGCCAATGATCTTTAGTTTCCTTTCACTTCTCTTTTACTTTCCTGACATTGGCCTGATTTATTTAGATTTGTGTAATTTTTATTGCAGTTATTCTTCTGAGACTTTTACAACACTGGTCCTTTGCTGAAATTGCAATATATGAAGATATATCTAGATTGAAAGAGTTTCTGTGCAAAAGTTAAAGGAAGCTAGTTAAAATGTTTCAACAGATCTATCCTCTGTCAGTGAAGAAAGTTTCAGCTGTAGAGGGATTTACTGATCAAAAGAAAAAGCCAAAAATTGTTTAGAGTTAAAGAGTCCTTGGAAGAGAAAGACACATTTTTCACTCCAGTAAGTAAGTTGGCAACTACATTCAGCACAAGCATAAATTTTCTGCATGCCTTAAAAAACAGCTCATATGGCAGACATCTCATCAGTTCATTTAGGAAACCCTAAACATGCATAAATTTGTACAATATGTGATGGTAATGAAAAAATGTAATTGATCTTTCACACTCTTCAGTTGTTAAGGAATGAATGGACATACTTGCTCAGGAACTTATAGAGGGGACCTCCCATGGAATCTCATTGAACTCTTCTTGATTTTGTAAGGGGACCTAACAAATAGTTTCAATCCCATCCTTAAATTTAATGAAAAAGGTGATTGTTACCTGGTAGTTTTAGGGGATTCCCTTAGTTTTTCTTCTCCATTTCGTGGCAAGTCTTTGAACATCCACTGAGTCCACATCAAAGGCTATGTTGTATTCCAACTTGGCAACCCCCATGCAGGTCTTCCTCCTTGCACAAGATTTTGCAGGAAGGAGAAGGTGGAAGCCTGGGCTGGATTTACAGCTAAGTTTCAAGAGGGAACATTATTATTAGCTGAATAAATGTGTAAACATTTTCATCTTGTATTGTCTTTCATTTTGTCTTAATAGGATTTGGGGGTTTTGGGATTTTTGGTGTTTGGGATTTGGGATTTGGGGTTTGGGATTTGGGATTTGGGATTTGGGGTTCGGGATTTAGGGATTGTGGTTTGGGACTGGGATTTGGGGTTTGGGATACTAGGTGTTTGGGATAATAGGTGTACTATATAAAAATTAAGACAAAAATGTCATAATTAATTGCCTTAAGAGAAGTTAAAAAATATTATTTATTATATTGGTGTTATAGCCTTTATGATTTTTATGCAAGACTGTGTATAGACTAGATAAGCAGTATCTTTGTAAAAAAAGTATTCATAACTCATAATGCAAGAAAAAAGACTGGAAAAAAGAGAAAAATAATACTTTTTGGTGATGATCTAGTTTGGTCAAAAATATAAAATTTCTTGTTTAACTCCAGAGAAGAACTTGTGTGACTTTTGCTTTTGTCCAATAATATTGGTTGCCTAATAAAATATTATTTCTCTCTGTAATCCCATCTCCATGTTTTTGTGCAAGAGGAGTAAAACAGAAATATTATAAAATAATATAGCCACTTTTGCTGTTGCATGAATCAAGTTTTCGATGATACAGCTACACTAAAAGTGGAAAGGGAAGGTGTTTGTTTTGCATTCAAATGTACAGCAAAAGCACAAGAGCTTTTTGCACAGCAAGAAGAATCTCCTTTCCATCCACTAGATAGAGCTCGTGGACTTCAAGTGTCGGTGCAAGGCTTGGCAGGGCACGCCTGGGGCTTCTGCCAGCAGGCTTGGAGCTCCCCTGCACTGCTCCAGACAAGTAAACAAACATATTTACAGACCTGGGTGGGTTTCTCTGTTTGAAAGCTCATTCTATATCATGTGTTGAATGACATGCTGGGGGCAGTGAAACAAAAAGTGGTGTTTTCCTTCTTTAGCCCTTTAAAATTCTTTTGTTTGGAGGATGCAGTTTATGTATGTTACCTTTCTTCATATTAGTAGGGGTATTACAGCATCAAATCTTACATCAGACACACTTTTTTGCATTACCTGAAAAATAACTAGAAAAAGATATAATTTAACCACTGAAAAACACACATTTTTAAATGCAATGTCTCTCATTTTCAGACCTTATTGCTTTGTCAGTAAGCAAATATTTTTCAAAAATGGGAAATGAAACATTATCTTCTGAGATTTTGTGGGGTTTGGTGTTTCAGGGATGTTTAAATTTTTTTTTTTTTTTTTTTTTTTTTTTTTTTTTTTTTTTTTTTTTTTTTTTTTTTTTTTTTTTTTTTTTTTTTTTTTTTTTTTGCTTTTATTTTGTTTTTCCTTGTCAGTTTTTTTCTCTTCCTTAGGGAAGAATAGCATAAGATTGAGTTGGGATCAAATGAGTAAAGCCCCATAGATATGGAATCCAAAATGTGAAAGTGTGTAGCTTCTCTAATGATGCAACCAGAGCTAGGGAAATAGATTTTCATTGATTTTTTTATAACATCTTAAGAAATTGGAGTTTTTTCAAAATACCATTTGCCATTACATTTAACTGAATTAAATAGAATGGTTCAAACTACTCTATTTTGAAATTGAACTTGCCTCTTATATTCAAAAAGTGCTTTCCCAGAAGTTGCTATACTTTCAAAGGCAGACACTGGCACAATAAAATTGCAATTAAGCAATCCATCTCTCTCAGAGAGGGCTGAGGCTGCAGGAGGCAGATTGAGGTGAGGCCCTGCCTGCAGTCAGCTGGCTTTCTTTTTGGCTCCATATTAGAAGGCTTTCAACAAGACCATGAGAGCAACTAGGGTCAGACAGAATAAAAAGTGGATGTTTGAGGGAAAATAATCAGTAGAATGTTTGGGAAAATAGAATATTCCTGTGTAGCTATATTTACCAGGGTATTCCCTCCCTTCTTTGAGTTTATTGCTTGTGTTGTATAGAAAAACTGCATTCAAATGCCCGAGTGAGGAAGGATGGAAAGAGTAGGCATGCAAAGGCAAGGGAGCTACACCCTTTATCTGTGGGTAAGAAGAGGAGAGAGAGGAAAAGGGATAGATGAGAAATTTCCCCTGAGAAGCAATACCGAGTGATTAAGGAATCCAAGTTCCCTCTGCAGAATCCCATCATCCAGTATTTGAAGTTTTTTATTCATTGTCTTTTGACCAGGTTACTTTGGTTATCTTGCTTGCTCCAGGGATGATGTTTCTGTAAACAAACTTGACAGGCTTTAAAGAAGGAGTTACAGCACATAGAGTGCAAAATGTTGAGGATGACAAAAGCAGATTCTAAATTAGGATGGATTTCCATCTTTTTCCAATCTCTTCAGTGAAAAAGAGGAATGAACAATTCTTATTCTCCATGGTAGGTTCTGTACATTGTACACTATTTTTGGTGATCATAAAAGAAAAACTATATTCGACTGCTATGCAGTAGAATTGTGGCCTCTTGCCAATAAAAGGAGAGAGCTGTGCTGTTCTTCAAAAACACAGATGTTTTCCAGGTGTTTTCAAGTACAGTCTCACTCCTTGCATGTGGTTAACTTGGAGATAAAGCAAGATAATGACAAATAGACACCACAGTTTTTATTCTCAGGTCAGTGTCTCTCATACTGAAATTTTTAAAGAATCACACTAATGAATGTGTCAGAAAAGTTGAATCTCAGATATGTTTCTGTTCCTTGTGATATCACATTTTGCCTTCAATAGAGGGAATTTCTGTATCACTTTAACAGTGTCTTTATTCACTGAAGTCCACTCACAAACCCCAGCACAGGAATGGAACTAATATTAGCATTATATAAATATTTTCCCCCCTATTACTCCTAAGGGTTTACCAGAATAAATTCCCTTTACGGCTTTTTTTAGCAAAGTCCTTCTCTTGAAAAAAACATGTGCACAAACACACACACACACACACACACACACATTAACTTCTGACACATCACAGAAATTGTTTGAACCAAAAAGCACAGTATTTAGCTATAGGGCTTGGTGCTTAACTTTTAGGTTGGCAGGTAGAACAGTGGTGCAGAGTCTCTGCCTAAGGAAATTTGCATTTACATTTCCATCAATCTTCTGCTAACACATACATTTCTCATGTGAGAGGAGCAATGGTTTCCCATGTTAATTTACTGACATAGTAAAGCCTTCTAGGAGCCAATGTGTACTTATTTGGGTTTTGATTCTCAGTATTTCATGAGCATACTAACTGCACACTGAACTGCTACTGCCAAGATCAAAGACAGTCATTCCCTTCCTTGGTGGCTGAGATGGAGACGCTCTTTTGACTGAATGCATTTGGAATTTATTTCTATAATTTTCATCCATCTTTTTCACAGGCTTAGCCCAGAACCTGATACTATCTGTCCTCAGTGAGACTGCTGAACATACAGGCTTTCTTCTGGTGCCAATTTCTTCATGTTTAGCCAGATATAAAAGACTTTGCTCATAGTTCTAAATATGAAAAGTGGGTCCTATGCCCTGTCAGGCTTACTATTATATAGACACACTGGAAATTTGAATTTCTTCTATATTCTTTCATAAACATTCCAATATGCCTTCAGATATTTTTCCATATTTTCCCCATTTTCTGATTTGGGCATCAGTATAATCACAGTTTATTAAATTGTGTGACTCAGAGGACATATGAATGTACCCATGGAAGAAAGCAGCAATGGAAATAATGTTAATTTGACATATAATATATTTTATTTTGCCAACGTGTTTTCTCAAGATGAGTAATATTTTTTCACCTCTATGTTTCTTCTCCTGTTTAGTACTACTTTCCTTTAAGTTTAAATTAATTTTGAATTCTCTTAAAAAACCCAACTGTGTGGGAATCAGTCATTCCCAGAATTCAGACTGAACAGTTCTGAGTAATTTCTTCTCCCCATTGAACTAATTCTGCTGGACATTAACTTCACTGAAATTGAGGCATGTGGCTGGGCTCTGTCAGTCTTGGTCCTTCCTGTGTGAAGATCCTTCCTGTATCAATAATCTCATTTTATATTAAATGTACAAGGTATGTGTCTACCTCTAGTATAGCTGTCCTGGTTCCTAGTCCTTTGTGATTTTCATGCATCTGACCTGTTCTGAACGTGCTGACTTTAGGTTCAGCATTAAGTCAATAGTGCTCTGTTGAACTTATTTTCTCTCCATTCACAATAAAGAGATCTCACAAGGTCTAGCTCAAATTCAGACATTCATACTGTAGACTGATTTGTACAAATTCATCCTGCTAGTCTAATCTACCTGTATATTTTATGTCTTATCTATGTGACAGGAATAATGCTGTTACTCAGTTGCTGAAACGAATATGCAAAAACTCTGTCAGTACTATTTCAGCTCCAGCAAACTCTATTTAGCACTTGTTCATTACTGAATTATCCAGTACACATGCAAGATACCACAGCTTTCCTTGTGAAGCCAAATGTATTCAGACTGGAGAGCTGATATTTGGATCAATAATGGCAATTCAAATAAAAAGTGTGTTTCTTTTTAGATTATACTTGTCCTATTCAATTATCTTCGACTGAGTGTTGCTGGAAAAAATGTCAGCCAAGACATTAACAATACAATAAGCCTCAAAATCATCCTGTTTTCAAAATACTCAAATTTTCAGCTAGAAAAGGTACTCTAGGGCACTTTTCTTCATTAGTCTTTGTCCAGAAACTTAATAGTTTTAACAATTTTCAGCATCATAAAACTGATTAATCTTCATTAACATGCACTTTGGTTTGCTTATGCATGTCTTTTCTGTGGTAGTTCATGAAAAATAAATATATCTCAGCTTTTTCAGGAAGTGAAAAAGTTATTGTGTAGAAAAAAAATGCAAGAGAAGTTTTTGTCTTCCACCACACCTTCTTTTGATTTTTCTTAATAATTCACATGCTGATAAACACAAATTCAAAGATATACATTTAATTTTAAATGTCTAGAACATGAAGCAAACTGCC